TTTTGTATGAAAAACCGGGCTCAACTGACATGATATAAAACGAATAAAGTACCCAGCGCGGTCCAACACAAAAGGTGTACATAAATAAACGTTGTACCAAGTCTCAAATATTTACATAGACCCATCCATTCTATCCTATTGGACATTTACTAGTTGCTTTATCTCAGGACAGAAATTGTCTTTCCCAAAATACTGATAGCAGAAGGTTTAAGAGATACAGAATGTTATTTTGGAAAATTTATAAAATAATTTACTAACTCACCTGCACTCAAAGAAGATAACACAGATGTGCTATAGTTTTTCCACGTTAAAAAAATATAATTTCAAAATAAGGAAAACATTTCTACTCTACTATTTAAAACCTACTTGTTACGCTTGTCACATCGACCATTTATTGCCAACCACTTTAACAGCTTTCATATTCGGAATAGATGTTTTATTTAAATTAAAGTACTTCAATTATAATTTTCTCATTTGAAAATTATTCACGTTCGTTGTGAATATTCTCTTTTTCTCTGTCGTTTCTTTTTTCCACATTGCTTTGTATTCTAAGGTTGCATACAACTTATGACTAGGTTGACGCCGAAGCTAAAGTATTCTCCTGCTGCGAGTACCCATCTCAAGCATTGTCTGTGCCAGTTGGTATTGGCATTGCCAATAATTGGTTTACTTATTTTCTGTTCGTTATTCTCATCTCACGTATTGAAAAAATTCCACCATTATATCAAAAGAAAAGTGAACTTCAATTATTGAATGTTGGTCTTGTTTTTTTTTTTTTTTGAAATTTCATTTCAGGTTTTTTTTCACCCACAACCTTACAAAACGAGACAACAACCTGAAACTGGAAATTGTCAAGGAAGCTGCGGAATCATCAGATCCACCGCCGTTGCCACCACCACAAGAAGATAAACTCTTCATTGGTGGGTATGAACAAACTTTTTTATTGTCACTTTTCTGTTTTCCGCGCTACATTAAACTTGCGGTGTACATTTTCGTCTTCTCTGCACTTCTTGTTTTGTGGAAATTTATTTAAAACGAAATCAAAAGCCATTTGCATATTTAAATTAAAAAAGTAAAAGCATGCTCGGAGAAGCGATGTGAAAAGAGGCGAAGAAGAAGAAGTAGAAGAAACAAGAAAAACAAAATTGGGTAAGGATAAGAAGATGAATTACAAAGAGTTTGGATGAACACTTTGTTTCGTGAAAAGTTTCCTTCGAGGAAATGTACAAAGATTTATAGGAAAATGAAATGAATGAGACTTGCAGAGTTTGAGGGTAGACGACTGTGTGACACTTTAAGTCAGACACATTAAAGTGATGTCATTCCGTCGCATAAAATGTGACACGGCCAATATTTAAATCACAATACATCAGACTTAATTTAAACGAGCAATAATGTTAATTACTTTCAGGTTTTATGTGGTTTTATTATGAATTTATGTTTATTAATTTCTCCAAAAATGCCCCCCATAATCGAAAATTTGACAAATATATACAGCTGATAAGTACATACTCTAGCTTCCGAATGAAATGAAGTAAGTTGATAAAAATTTGCTCAAATGCGTATTATGTCTGCAAGACTTTTCGTATTTAAAATGGGCCATGTATGTCGACGTCTTCGTATAGCCCCCGTATAACAGTACCTCCCGATATTCGGTACTTTGATTATTTTGCGACATTATTTACCGGAATTATTTCAAAATTGGTATTTGAAGTTCGTAATGGATACTACAGCCTATGGCAGAAAATTGTCTGTGTAGGTCCACGTTTTATAACCCCAATGGTACCTCCCTATATTCCGTATTTTGATGATTTTAGCTACATTATAAACAGATTTTTTCCAAGTTTCCCATTTGAATATTGTAATAGCTTATGATCGTATAGACCCTAATATACGGCTACTTTCGGTATTTTTAAGATTTTAACGGATTTTATTTTTTTGAAAATTGCCAAAATTGTACCAAATGGTGGAGGGTATTCAAAGTTCGGCCCGGCTGAACTTACAGCTTTATTACTTGTTTTTACTAAATTGTTATTCTTTTTTGACATGCAAGTCGCATTTATTATCCAATTGAGATGAAATTTTGCAGACAACATTTATTTGGCCCTAGGATGAACCCTATTAAAATTGTTAATAATAGGATCAGATTTAGATATAGCTCCCAAATATCTTCAAACTATTTCGGTTTTTTTGTGAACCAAATGGCCAAAATAAGTCCTAATGACCTGAATTTTGGTACAACCTACCAAATTATATATCGATATAGCTACAACTCACATATATATGTTTTATTCGATTTGGAGTTTCAAATCCCTCACATTCGTATCATGCACTGCAGAATAATGATATTTGATACCGGATATCAGATAATGCTCGAAAATACCTCTGTAAAATTTTATCGAGATCGGTTCAGATGGGATATAGCTCCGATACCTTTATCCGATATCAGGTTTATTGTGCACCAAATGGCTAATATCAGCCCAAATGTGTAGAATTATGGCAATTAATACTGAACTCATGCTAGAAACTAGTGCTTCAAATTTTGTGTAAATCGGTTCAGATATAGTTATTGCTCACATATATATGTTCGATTTGGGGTTTTAAGCCCCTCACATTCGTAATGTGCACTCCAGAAGAATGATATTTGGTACCGGACATCATACCTCTGAAAATTTTATCGAGTTCGTTTCAGATTGGGATATATCGCCAATATATATGTTTTATCCGATTTGGGGTTTGAAGTCCCTCACACGAATAATATGCAATTCCACAACAATAATCTTTGGTACCAGATATCAGATACAGCTATAAAATAAGTGTATCAAAATTTTCCAGATCGGTTTAGATTTGGATATAACTCCCACATATATCTTTAACCGATTTCGGATTAATTGTGCACCAAATAGCCAATATCAGTCCATATTACCAAGCGAATTCAGTCTAGAAGCAAGTACATAAAATTTGAAGAAAATCGGTTCAGATATAGCTATAGCTCCCATATATATGTCTCATCCGATTTTGGTTATTAAGACGTAGCCCGTCTGTGGTGTAACGTTATTCCATTATTTTCTGCTTGAAAACGAAACTTTGGATGGTATATTAAGTTTGTCATTCCGTTTGTAACTCCTCGAAATACTCATGTCAGACCCAACAAGGTATATATATATTTTTGATCAGCGTAAAATTCTGAGACGATTTAGCCCTGTCCGTCCTTCTGTCCGTCTGTTGTAATCACGCTACAGTCTAAACGAATTAAGATAGGAAGCTAAAATTTTGCACAGACCTCTCTTTTGTCTGCAGGCAGGTCAAGTTCCAAGATGGGCATCGGTCCACGATATCGTATAGCCCCCATATAACGGTACCCTCCCATATTCGGAATTTTGAAGATATTAGCCACATTTTTCAATGGAATTGTCTGAAAATTCACACAAGTAGTTCCTTGTGAATACTTTACCCCCTGAGAGAAAATTGTCTATATAGGTCCACGAAATCGTATATCCTCCATATAACGGTACCCCCGATATTCGGTATTTTGATAACTTTACCCACCTTTTCAACGGAATTGTCTGAAAATCCACACAAGGAGTTCCTTGTGGGTACTATATACCTCGACAGAGAATTATCTATATAGGTCCACGATATCGTATAGCCCCCATATAGGTCCACGATATCGTATAGCCCCCAACGGTACCCTCGATATTCGGTATTTTGATGATTTTAACCACATTTTTCAACGGAAATTGTACACAAGGGGTTTTTTGTGAGCACTTTACCCCCGACAGAGAATTCTTTATACGGGTTTATGATATTGTATAGCACCCATATAACGGTACACCCGATATTCGGTATTTTGATGATTTTGGACACATTTTCAAATCGTATTGTCTAAAAATCCACACAAGGAGTTCTTTGTGAGCACTTTACCTTCTGAAAGGGAATTGTCTATATAGGTCCGTAATATCGTATATCCCCCATATAACGAAACCCCCCGATATTCAGTAGTTTGATGATTTAGCCACTTTTTCCAATGGAATTATCTGAAAATCCACACAAGGAGTTGCTTGTGAGTACTTTACACCCAGACATAGATTTGTCTTAATAGGTCCACAATATCATATATACCCCCATATATCGGCACCTTCTTTCTGCTCTTACGCACATATATCTATTGGCAGAATATGCACCATTGTTTTTAGAAGCTACAAGTTGTCATTGCCCCTTTCACCCCGATGCATGTGGGTTGTTTTCGTTCCGACTGTTGGTCAGCAAGCTCCATATAAGAGTATAGGTTTATTATGCTGGTGTACACCAATAACAACATTTTGGGTTTAAGGCCCCAAGGGCTCCCAAATATTTTGCGACATGCGTTGTGTGCAACAATTGCTTTGTAAGCAAAAATTATAAAGTGGGGAATAATTTATAAATTTCGGTAGATGTGATTGGTTTTATATAACTATTTCCATGCTCAAATTCGGCATATGTACTCAAAGAAGTGCATTCGAGATTCATTCTTAGCTTGGTGCGGATGGATTTTTTTTTTTTTTTTTTTTTTTTTTTTGAAAACTTTTGGCCTTTTATCTTGTGATTTGATATTTTATCTTTTATTTAGAACATAAATATACAACAATCCTCGTTTTTCATACGGAAATTTCTAAATCTACACTAAGTTAGCACAGGATGTAAAAATTAACTTTCAATGTCTATAGGTTGGCATTTTGTTTTTCAATTAGATGTATTTTGAAAAAATTAAGATATTCACTTTATGTAGGGTATGAAATGATTGACTCTGCCAAACTTGACATCCATTTACGGTCCAGGAAAAATGATTTCAAATTTATTTTTACCATAGTAACATTACTCACAAATAAGTACCAATAAACAAATGCATTACGGATTATTTTTGATTGTAAAGTAGAAACGAAAAAAAAAACATATCTTCAATTTGTTATTTCAGAAGAATCAAAGTGGAAAGAGAAAATCGTCACACCAAATATACTTACCGCACAGCTATTATAATTCCGACCACAGCGGCCGCAATTGCTGGCCACCATGACTTAAATGGATCCGCTTCATCGAAGAGCGATGTAATTTCGTCCATGCTACCGATTACCATTGCACGCGTTTTTTTTTTCTTCTTCAGTTGCTTTTTCTTAATTTCAAGGATAAAACTTTTTCTTAGCACTGTTTTTTTTTTCAAGACACAAAAAATAAGCCAACCAACAAGAAATTTCCCAAGAGAAGTTTGAAATTAACTTAAATCTGTTTTCTTTGATTTTATCGTTTCTATTTTTTTTCTCTCTCTCTTCGTCGACTTTCTTTTGTTTTCTTTATGAAAAATGAAATGGTCACCGTATGCTTTTTTCTTGGAAAATTTTTACAAATGCTCCGCAGCAACCCACGCTCAACTAATGCTACGATGGCAATGTACTCCCCTTGTGCCAATAAAAATCACTCAACCTCATCTGCAGCCCATTTAGATAAAATAATATTTACAATTATTTCCTATCCGGCTAGACTATGTGGGGGGGATAATTTTGCATTTATTTGTTTTTGTGTGCTGTGGTCTTTTTTGCTGCAAGTCCGGGCGTGTAGATGTGTGTGCATGTTGATGCAATTTTTATGAATCAACAGTAATTGTAATTGTGAACATGATATTTTGTATTATTTATGATTTAACTTTTCTCGGTTCTCTAGTTCTGCATCATTCATTCAGTTATTTATTTTAATCTGAGGGTGAGCAGAAGCTCAAATGTTAACACATGGGCTTGAAACTTGTATATGAATGCCAGATTTGCCAGAACCGACAAATTTTTTAAACTAACTTAGACTGACACATTAGTATATTGTACATTGCACTTTGCTAAAGGATGCCATTTCGTCTAGAATAGAGCATGCCAAATTCAGTTACATCGGTTCCAATATAGTTATTGATACATATATCTACGATCTGACTTCATACATAGATATATGTAATATCTTAAATATACCGCTGTCAAATGTGAAAGAAATCATTCGAGTACAATAATAGCTCCCATACATATTAGATTGCATAAGTCGATTTGACGTTTCAGAGCCATAATATATTTCTGACATCAATGATATTTAATAACTAACATAATATACCTAAAATTTATATTTAGAATTGAATTAAAATCGGTGAGATAAAGAAAAAAAGTAAAACGACATAATTAAATTTTTTTTTAAATTTTATTGAAAGAAAACAAAAAACTGTCGCATCAAATTTAAGAATAAGTTTAGATTTGTTTGTATTGGTCACATTTGGCAGAATTATGGCCAATGAAACCGTCACACGCTGCCCGAATGTTGCTCTGCGGTATTTTGGCCCATTCTCGGCGAAGCGCTTACTTGAGGTGATCGACACTTTTGCATTTTAGTGCCAACCTTATTCCAGACACAATAGTCCAACGGATTGGTATCCGGAGATTTTGGTAGCCATTGTGCGCCACCAAAATGAAGTGAAGAACCTGATTTAGTAACAATTCTTGGTTGGCGCGTGCTGAGTGTGATGGTCCTGTTGGAAAGTCCAACGTCTGCGGCCAAAATGTTTGCGTGGACAAGGCTTTAATACACTCTCCAGAATATTTTCGCGATAATATTCGTCATATATTCTATTGCCACGGTCGATTAATACGAGCGGAGAGCGACCATTGTCTGTTATGGCACCATCACCATGGCCGGCACTTGAGTTCCGGTGGCCAACCGAAGGTGCACATTTCCAGCTGACCTCTTTGGCAATGATGAATGTTTTCTCATCGGAGGAAACCAAATTCGGCAGTTCACCACTTTCGGCCAAGCAAAGCAATCCTTTAGCTCTTATGAGTCTTTTTTTCTGTTGCGGCGTAAGTTCTTCACTTTTTGGAATTTCAATGGCTTTACCTCGAGCTCATTTTTCAATATTTGCCAAATGGAATATTACGATATGTTCAGTTCTCGAGCCATTTTTCGGCCACTGCGACGCGGGTTGCGATCAAGTCGCTTCTTTACTTTTCGATCCATTTCTGCTAACCTTGCTGTTTCCTTCCGTCCACTTCCTTGACGTCGGGCAACGCTACCAGTATCACGGTAACAATTTATTCACATTTAAATGTTGGAGTGTTCTAACAATAGCCACTTGTGGTCTTCCAGCCAAATATAAAGAAATCGCTTGAATTCCATCACGAATAACTTTTTTTCTGGAAAATTCTAAATAAAATGCTTTTGTTCGCTTGAAAACAATATAATGAGTTGTTACTGGACGAGTGGCTTAGAAATGACAGCAGTCTGAAGTTGGTTGCAGTTTTTCACTCACCCTGTTTAGTATACTGCTTTCACACATATTGTCATCTAATTGTATACCCTCCACAGTATATAATATTGAGGATATATTAATTTCGTCATTCCGTGTGTAACTCATCGAAATAATCATTTTCGACATGACAAAGTAAATATTTTCTTAAGCACCATAAAAATCATAAGACGATTTAGCTCTGACCGTCGGTCTGTCTTTTGTCTGCAAACCGGTCAAGTTCGCAGATGGGCTATATTGGTCACACTTTCCCACACTTTCTAATGGAATTGTCTCTGGAAGAGAATTGTTTATATAGGTCCACGATATCGTATAGCCCCTATACAATGGTACCCCCTGATATTCCGTATTTGGATGATTTTAGGGAAATTATTCACCAGAGTTGTTCAAAATTTTGTACCTAGAATTCGTAATAGGTACTATAGCCCATGACAAAAAATCGCGTATGCAGCTCCAGGCTTTCGTATAGGCCCCATACATCAGTACCTCCTTATTTTCCGTGTTTTGATGATTTTAGCTAGATTATTCACCGTTTCATAATTAAATATTGTAATGGCTTATGACAAAAGTTGCCCATGCATGTCCATGTCTTCGTATGGACCTCAATATAACTGCTATATTCACTATTTTTAAGATTTTAACAGAAAATTTCAGAGGATGTTATTTTCTTAAAAATTTCCAAATTTGTTGCAATATTGGAGGGTATTTAAAGTTCGGCACGGCCGAACTTACTGCTTTTTATTAATAATTAGATTTAAGCTGTACTACAGTGAAAGTTTGAAACTGCAATATTTCTGGTACCTTCTCTTTCTGGTATCTCCCTCGCAAGCGTTCAAAACTTACAGAAAAAAAGTTACACGTATCCTAGATATAATAAGCCCAGGTAAGAACCCGATATAGTTTTCTCTGTTTCAATCAACATTTGATTATTTTGAAATGTTCCCCTCCAGATATTTTTGCCTACATTATAGCAAGTGGGAACATAAAGCTTACTGTCTTATGTTTATACCCTACAACACTATGTGTTGGGGGTATTATAAATTTGATTGGGCCAGAATTTATGTAACACCTCGAAATATTGGTTTCCCATATAGGAAAGTATATATGGATCTTCCTAGCTCGCCGAGCTGAGTCGATCTAGCTATGTATGTCCGTCCGTCCGTCTGTCCATGTTAATTTGTAATCACGCTGCAGGTCGCAATTATGGCCCGATCCTAACGAAATTTTGTACGAAGGTGGGGTTAGGGTCAGAATAGAAGCCTATTTTTTTGGAGATTATCGCCAAATGTATAGGGGTTGAAATGGACCAAATACTGAAAAAATGTAGTAGCTATACGGGTCGCAATTATAGACCAATCGACGCGGAATTTCGCATGTAGCTAGAGTTTAGGGCGGGGAAGAAGCCTACCAATTTGGGTGGTCATCGGATAATATTTAGCGGGTAAAATAGACCATATTTTTTGTGTTGAAAAAATTCAAAATTTTTAATTAAACCGTGAATATTTTAAATCCCGGCGAAATCACAAAGCCATCACAAGGTTACTTCTGACCATTACATTGATGTTAACATCCAACAAATCGGATATATAGCAAAATATGTGCGATATATATGTCTATCAAAGAAGATATGCTTGAAAGATCTATTTTATGTCGAGAACGGCTGAACTGATTTCGACAGTTCTCATTAATTCAGAATGGCCTCTTGGCAGGAAAGAAAAAAAAGTCTAAAAAAATCGCATAAAAATATCTGTCTAAAGATGAAAATATTGATTTTCTAAAATTTTCTCATATTTTTTCAATTTTGTCATATTTTTGGCATATTTATACCCTACAACACTATGTGTTGGGGGTATTATAAGTTTGATTGGGCCAAAAATTATGTAACACCTCGAAATATTGGTTTCCCACATAGGAAAGTATATATGGATCTTCCTAGCTCGCCGAGCTGAGTCGATCTAGCTATGTATGTCCGTCCGTCCGTCTGTCCGTCTGTCCATGTTAATTTGTAATCACTCTACAGGTCGCAATTATGGCCCGATCTTCACGAAATTTAGAATGTAGGTGGGGCTTGGACCAGAATAGAACCCTATTGCTTTTGGTGATGATCGCCAAATGTTTAGGGGCTGAAATGGACCAAATACTGAAAAAAATGTCGGATTTTGCAGTAGCTATACAGGTCGCAATTATAGACCAATCGACGCGGAATTTCTCATGAAGCTAGAGTTTAGGGCGGGGAAGAAGCCTACCAATTTGGGTGGTCATCGAATAATATTTAGCGGGTAAAATAGACCGTATTTTTTTTTTTTTGTTGAAAAAATTCAAAATTTTTCATTAAACCGCGAATGTTTTAAATCCCGGGGAAATCACAAAGCCATGACAAGGTTACTTCTGATCTTTACATTGATGTTAAGATCCAACAAATCGGATATATAGCAAGATATGTGCGATATATATGTCTTTCAAAGGAGATATGCTTGAAAGATCTCATATATGTCGAGAACGGCTCAACTGATTTCGACAGTTCTCATTAATTCAGAATGACCTTTTGGCAGGAAAGAAAAAAACGTCTAAAAAATCGCATAAAAATATCTCTCTAAAGATGAAAATATTGATTTTGTAATATTTTCTCATATTTTTTCCATTTTGTCATATTTTTGGCATATTTTCATTTTGAATTAAACATTTGGTAATATTTCTACAGCTAACAAAACTAAGTAGTTAGGATGTCAGGATATCATATACAGATCGCATTTATGGCCCGATCCTTATGAAATTTTGCATGGGGATAAGATGAAGGTCAGAATAGAAGCCTACTCTTTTTGGAGATGATCGCCATATATTAGGGGTTGAAATGGACCAAAAAACTGCAAAATTGTCGGCAGGTCGTAATTATCGCCCGATCCTCACGCACATTTGAATGGGGATTACCGGACATTGCAAAAGCCAAGCAGTTTTGGATGGCCATCCAAATGGCCATGTGAAGGAGTTTGCCAACTTTTGTAGACAAAATACGAAAATTACCATTCCAGTGACTTTTTGGAGAATTCACAAATACAGGAAAGACGCACTTCTGACTATTTCGTTAACGCTGATTTCGTTGAAG